CTGTGAATTTTAACGCGTGAGAAGTGACTTTTAACGCGTTAAAAATATTTTAACGTGTTACTTTTACATTTGAAAAAGTAACGCGTTAGAAGTGACTTTTAACGCTTTAAATGCACTTCTAACGCGTTAAAAGTAAGTTTTAACGCGGTAAAAGTCGGTTCTAACACGTTAAAAGTAACTTCTAACGCGTTACTTTTTTAACGCGATACTATATATCGTTTTTAGACCGAACCGCCACCCATACCCTTACACCAAAACATTTACATGCCTCCTGTTTCAGATATGAATTACATCTATGCTTGACTNAAAAAAATATATGATACTATAAATGTAGGTATCATAAGTAATATCGTCATAAATGTATATATATAATTTAGTCCGATTCTGCCCCGATCATGTAATTGCAATCCTTTTATCAAATAGATCTTATACCCGATAATGATACTTAAATGTATCTAATATATATATTCATTAATGTATATAATTATTAATAGATTGCTGCCCGTTCCTGCCCGTTTCTGTCCGTTTCTGCCCGTTCCTGCCCATTTCTGCCCGTTCCTGCCCGTTCCTGTAAATCGTCGAACCCTGGACGATATGGTAAGAAAGTAACCTAGGTCATTATATAGTACTGCAGACTTAGCTCTCTGGTGACTAAGCTTAGCGCTAATAACATCTCGCAAAATAGTCCCAGTTTGTACATTGCACTTTATATGTTAAGTCGAGTTACATAATCTGTGCGTGCCGATTTGGTAATTTGATAACAGTAGCCGGAACATGACCTATTTTCTATAACATATGACATATCTCGTGTGAACTTTGATCAAATGATGCCTATCTATTTGTGAACAAGGCGATCACACCCATGCATGGTTTATTGGCGGTTACATAGTACTCGTTTATCAAGGTATTGTTGCTTTCAAGATACAATGTCACCGGTCCATTGCTATTTTGGTTCTTTATTTTACAGGTAAACACGTCGAGTCGGATGCAGTATACCACGAATATTTACATGGCGTGATCATATCCGATAGAAAAAAGGCCGAGCAGCGGCCTCTTATGTTATAGGAGTAGAATGGGGCTGTCATTTAAAAAAAAAATGAGCTAAAACATGTAAATTATTCTGAACACCTGTAGAAGAAATTGATCTCCACCATTTATTTTTTCTGCAACTAATTAGAAACAAACCTCTGTGCGCCATTCAATTTTTTTAAGATAGATAAAACAACCCAATTATTTAAATGAGAAAATCTACTAGAAATAAGTTTGTAACTTCAGGTAAAAATTGATGATAACTGACATATTATCCCATACTGTGATTTTTGTGACGGGATAGATCTATTATTTTTTTTTATATAGATTATATATAGTAGTCGACACCAATGGAAAGCTTCAGGTAGCCCTAGCTTCTTGTGACGCGTTTTAATATTCCTATAACCTCACAGTACCCAAATCGGGACACTTTTTAGTGAAATATTGATATATTTCATATCATAGTAGCGATCCCAATAATTTTTGTTCACTTTTCCTAAAAGGATTTCATTATCTTTTCATGTTGATAAACAAGTTGATATTCTGGCGCATGGTTCTATAAGTAGAACTGGAAATATAGTCATGGGCCGCTTTCGTTTAAACGGCCAAACCGGTCGGACCACAGTTGTTCGTTTATTAAATAAGGTCGGACCTGGTAATCTCTGCATAAACCGGTTGTTCCGCATAAACGAACAGGCCCTAAGTTATGTAATCGTGAAACCCCAAATCGGGATACCCCTACCAGTTTTGGCTTATATTTGGAGATGGAAAAAGTATTTAGCAGAACATGGCATATCTTCGGAATATTTAATTAAGAGTCAATGGTTGCTCTGAATGAATTTCTTTTCCATACTACCATTAGTCAGGCGCGTAGCTGCCTATAGGCAGAATAGGCAACTGCCTACACATAAATTTCATAGATACACTTTTTTTTACTGGTCCTTGTTTTTGTCGATTAAATGTATAATTTTGCTTTTTGACTTTCTACGGATAAAGTTTTTTCCCGTTCCCGGGCCGTCACTAACGAGCCGTTCCCTTGCCGTCCAGTTTTCTTTTGTAAGCCTTTGTCTGCCCGGAAAACTCGGCGATTACAATTTGTCTGAACTCTGTCTGACCTCTGAAATTGTTCAGTTAACTTGTATACTGACTTTTGATAGCGCTTAAAACATTTATTCACATAAATCGCTGATGTTGCCCATAATAAAGTATGCATATTCGACAAACGTGTGATATAATATGGAATGAAATATATTTCCCGATATTTTCTCACAAAAAAATGAGCTTTATTTTCATTAATTTAAACTATTGAAATTGCCAGCGGAACACGGGAGATTGCTCCTAAGGCCTTCTATTATTCCAAATTTTCCCAGACCCCCTCCAAGGGGAGGGGGAAGACTCCTCCCATACCCTCCCTTTCTCGCGCT